ATATGGAACACCAAATAGATTGGACCAGTGAAGAAAGTTGCCTTGGCACATAATAAAAAAAAATCTAAGCATAGAGAATGAAGAAAGAATACTAAAAGCTGCAGGAACAAAACAAACAAACAGGCACAGAAAGGTAGCCCTATTAGAATCATACCTCGCTTTTCAAGAGAGATTCTGAAAGCAAGAGAAGCCTGGACAGATATGCTGCAGACTCTAAGATACCACAGATGCCAGCCCAGAATATTACACCCAGTGAGACTTTCAATTACCATAGAAGGAGAAAACAAGATAATCTCTGATAAACCTTAATTTAAGCAATATTTATCTACAAATCATCCCTACAGAGGGTGCTAGAAGGAAAACTCCAACCTAAGGTGGTTAATCACATCCATGACAATGCAGGAAATAAATAATCTCAGACTAGCAATATAAAAAAAATAAATGTGAGCACACACACACACAAACAAACACCATTACCACTACCACCATCACCACCAATACCAACAACAAGAAAATAGTAGGAATCCCTAATCATTGGTCATTGGTACCTCTTAATATCAATGGTCTCAATCCCCAATAAAGAGAACAGAAAACATGTTTCATCATCAATGATAGACATTACCTCAGGGTAAAGGGTAGAAAAAATATTTCAAGCAAATGGACTTAAGAAACAAGCTGGTGTAGCTAACAAAACAAACTTCAACCAAAACTAATCAGTGAATAGGGAAGGACAGTACATATTCATGGAAGTAAAAATTAACGAAGCCTTAAGTTAACAAAAAATTAATTTAAATCACATACTGACCCTCACCTACTGATAGTGGGAGACTTCCATACCCCACACTCACCAATAGACAGTTCATCCAGACAAAAACCAGAGAAATTCTAGAGCTAACAAATGTTGTAACCCAAGTAAACCCAATAGGTAATTAAAGAACATTTCACCAAAACGCAGAAGAATATATCTTCTTCTCTGCAACTCAACAGATTTTCTCAAAAGTTGATCACATACTAGGACACATAAGTCTGAAGAGAAAAAAAAAAGTTGAAATCATTTCCCACATCCTATCAGACCACACTGGATTAAAGCTGGATATCAACAAAAACAGGAACAAAAAATTTTAACACCCATGAAAACTGAATAATCCTCTATTGAATGAAAATGGGTTTAGACAGAAATTTAAAAAGACATCTAACATTTTTAAAAATTAAATGAAAATAAACACAGCATTCTCAAACTTATGGGACACAATGAAAGTGCTTTTAAGAGGCAAGATCATTCTGACAGGTATAAGATGGTATCTAAGAGTCATTTTGATTTGCATTTCCCTGATGATGAGGGATGTTGAGCAATTCCTTAAATGTCTTTCAGCCATTTGAGATTCTTCTGTTGAGAATTCTCTTTTTAGCTCTGTAGCTCATTTTTTAATTGATTTGTTTGGCATTTTGATGTCTAGTTTCTCGAACTATTTATATATTTTGGAGATCAGCCGCCCTCTGTCAGACGTGGGATTGGTGAAGATCTTTTCCCATTCTGTAGGCTGTCATTTTGTCTTATTGACCATGTCCTTTGCCCTACAAAAGCAGCCTTGGTGCAGAAGGGAGGGGCTCAAATGAATGTGCCAGGCTCTGCTGATGCCCCAAGGGAGATCTTGCCTTAGATGAGGTGGGAATGGTAGGTGGGTTGGGGGAAGGCTGGGAGGTTGAAGGAGTGAGGAGAGGGGAATCTGTGGTTGGTATATAAAATGAATAGAAAATTTTTTAATAATAAAAATTAAATAATAAGAAGTGGCAAGATCATAGCACTAAGTACAAACATAAAAATGGAGAAATTTCATACTAGCAACTTAACAGCAATCTGAAAACTCTAGAAGTAAAAAAAAAGGAGTCACAGTCAAGATGGGTAGATGGCATGAAAAAAAATCAAAGTCAAGGCTGAAATAAATTTTAAAAAATAGAAACAAAGAAAAAAAACAAAAAATGAATGAAAGAAAGAGTTGGTGTTTTGAGAAAATCATCATGATCAACAAACCCTTATCCAAATTAATTAAATGATGGAGAGAAAGTATTCAAACTAGCAAAATCATAAATAAACCAAGGGACATAAAAAGGAAATTTAGAGACTCATAAGAAAATACTTTAAAACCTTTACTTCACAAAATTGGAAAATGTAAGACAAATGGATAATTTTCTCGATAGGTACCACTTACCAAATTTAAATTAAGATCAGATAAGCAATTTAAACAAATCTATATCCCTTAGCGAAACAGAGACAGTCATTAAAAGTCTCCCAACTAAAAATTGTCAATGGTCAAAAGGTTTTTAGAGCAGAATTATATCGGAATTTCAAAAAACACTATGACAATACTCCTCAAATTATGCCACAAAACAGAAACAGAGAGAACATTGCCCAATTTGTTTTATGAAACTAGAGTTTCCCTGATACTCAAACCACAAAATGACTCAATGATGAAAGAGAATTAAAGACCAATCTCTCTTATGAACATAGATACAAAACTATCATAATAAAGTCCTTTCATATGAATTCCAAAAACACATTATAAGAATCATTCACCATGATCAAGTAGGGTTTATCCCAGAGATGTAGGAATGTTTCAGCATATGAAAACCAATAACTATAATCTACCATATCAACAAACTGAAAGAAAAAACAACACATGATCATTTCATTGGATGCAGAAAAGGCCTTTGGCAAAATCCTACACACTGAAAAAAAGTCCTGGTGAGATTAGGCATACACGGTACATACCTAAACATAATGAAGGCAGTTTTCAGCAAGTCTACAGCAACATCAAATTAAAGGGAGAGTAAAACTCAAAGCAATCCCCAAAAAATCAGGAACAAGACAAGATTGTCCACCTCTCTGTATCTATTCAACATCGTATTTGAAGTTTTAGCTAGATTGATAAGAAAGCTGAAGATGATCAAGGGAATACAAATTTGAAAGGAAGAAGTCAAAGTGTCTTTTTTAAAAAATGATTTGATAGTATACATGAGTGATAAAAAAAATTTCACCAGTGATCCTACAGCTGAAAACACTTTCTGTGAAGTGGCTGGATACAAGATTAACTCAAAAAACTCAGTAACCCTCATATAAATGTCAAATGGACTGAGAGAAATCAGAGAAACAACACCTTTCATAATAGCCTCAAATGATATAAAGACCCTCAAATAATATAAAATATCTAACCAAGAAAGTAAAATCCTTTTACAATAAAAAGTTCAAGCCTTTAAAGAAAGAAATCAAAGAAGATATCAGAAGATCAAAAGATGTTCTATGCTCATGGATTGGTAGGGTCAACTGTAAAAATGGTCATACTATTAAAATCAATTTACAGATTCAATGCAATTCCCATCAAAATACCAATACAATTCTTTAATGATCTTGAAAGGACAATTCTCAGTTTCATATAGAAAAACAAAAGAACCAAGATATCTAAACCAATGTTGAAAAATAAAAGAACTTCTGGAAATCTCATTGTTCCAGATTTCAGGTTGTACTACAAAGCTGTAGTAATAAAAACACCATGGTAATTGCATAAAAACAGACACATTGATCAATGGAACTGAATTGAAGACACAGACATAAATCCACACATATATGGACACCTGACTTTTAATAAAGAAGCCAGAAACACATTCTGGAAAAAAGACAGCAACTTCAACAAATGGTAGTAGTCATACTGGACGTCTGCATGAAGAAGAATGCAAATAGACCCATACTTATTACCCTTCAAACAAACTCAGCTACAAATGGATCAAAGACATAAATGTAAAACCATAGACACTGAGCCTGATAGAAGAGAAAGCGGGAAATAGACTTGAATGCATTGGCACAGTAGATGCCTTTCTAAACTGAACACCAATAGCACAGGCACTAAGATAAAAAAAATTAATAAATGGGAACTGATGAAATCAAAAAACTTCTATGAGATATAGGACAAAGCAATAGCCCATAGAATGAGAAAAGTTTTTTTTTTTGTTTTTTTTTTACCAACTCCAGATCCCACAGTATTCAAAATACTCAACATCTAAATAACCAAAATAAAAAATGAGATACAACCCAATGACAGAGAAATGGAATGAGATCTACATGAACAGCCTGGACATGAGTGGGGGTAATGAAAGGCAAGGGTTGAGGGAAAGAGAGCTTGGGGGAGCGGGAGATCCCAGCTGGATCAACAACAGAGAGGGAGAACAAGGAATAGGAGACCATGGTAAATGAAGACCACATGAGAATAGGAAGAATCAAAGTGCTGGAGAGGCCCACAGAAATCAACAAAGATACCCCCACAACAGACTGCTGGCAATGGTCGAGAGACAGCCCGAACTGACCTACTCTGGTGATGGCATGGCCAAACACCCTAATTGTTGTGCTAGAAACCTCATCCAACTACTGAGGGATCTGGATGCAGAGATCCATGACTAGGCCCTGGGTGGATCTCTGGGAGTCCAATTAGCGAGAATGAGGAGGGTTTATATGAGTGAGAATTGTTGAGACCAAGGTTGGATAAAGCACAGGGACAAATAGCCAAATGAATGGAAACACATGAACTATGAACCAATGGCTGAGGGGTCCACACTGGATCAGGCCCTCTGAATGGGTGAGACAGTTGATTGGCTTGATCTGTTTGGGAGGCATCCAGGCAGTGGGACCAGATCTTGTGCTCATTGCATGAGTTGGCTGTTTGAAACCTGGGGCCTATGCAGGATTGTTTGGCTCGGCCTGGGAGGAGGGGACTAGACCTACCTGGACTGAGTCTACCAGGTTGACCTCAGTCTGTGGGGAAGGCTTTGCCCTGGAGGAGATGGGAATGGGGGGGGGGGGATTGGGGGGAAGGTGAGGGGGACGGGAGGGGGGGAGAACAAGGGAATCCGTGGCTGATATGTAGAACTGAATTGTATTGCAAAATAAATTAAAAAAAAATGAGATACAGATGTAAACAGAGAATTCTCAACAGAGTGTGGTGATATTTTATTTGTGCTGAAATGTGGTTATATTTTATTTGGGCATTAATAAATAAAGCTTGCCTGAAGATCAGAGGGAAAAGGCCAGCCATTTTAAGTAAACAAAGAAGTCAGGCAGCACACGCTCTTAATCCCTTAGCGGGCAGGATCTCTGTGTGTTCAAGGCCACACTAGGGAACAGAGCCAAGTGTCGTGACACATGCCTTTAATCCCAGTACCAACCACAGAGACCTGGAGGTCCATACAGACAGAGAGTGAAAGAGCTGTGTAGGAAGAGGAAGTAAGGTAGCTGGGTTAAGAGCCAATTAAGGGGGCAGAAAAGCAAGGCATAGAAGCCTGGGTAGACAGGAAGTTGCCCTCCTTGGAAGCTGGGGAGTTCATGAGGTGATGTTAGCTGGTGACTTTCCATATTTCCCTCATCTCTCTAAGGCTTTAACTCAAATTTCTGGCTCCATGTTTTTTATTTAATAAGACAATTTAGAAATTTGTCTACAATAAAGGAAACTGAAATAGCTGAGAAACTCTTAAAGAAATGTTCAACATCCTTAGCCATTGGGGAAATGCACATCAAAATTACTTTGAGATTCCATCTTACCCCTGTCTGAATGGCTAAAATCAATAAAACAAGTGGCAGCTCAAGCTGGCAAGGGGAACACTCCTCCATTGATGGTGGGGGTGCAAACTTGTACAGCCACTATGAAAGTCAATATAGTGGTTCTTCAGAATGTTGGGAATTGATCTCCCTCAAGATACAGCTGTACCACTCGGGCATATACCCAAAGAATGCTCCACGAGAACACTTGTTCAACCATATTCACTGTGGCTTTATTCTTAATAGCCAGAAATGGGAAAAAACCTAGAAGTACCTTAACATAAGAATGAATATTTTAAAATGTGGTACATTTACACAATGGAGTATTACTCAACTGTTAAGAAAAATGACATCATGAACTTTGCAGGCAAGTGAATGGAACTAGAAAAACAATCATCCTGAGTGAGGCAACCCAGACGTTGGTTGGGAGTAACCAACCAACGTACAATTTGACTTAAACCCCACTCCATGAGATAGAACCAATAAATGACACATCTTGGGTTGACCAAATATCAGAGATTAGACACCTCAGAGACCTAAGATAAAACCAAAGATTATTGTTCTGACAAAAAGTAACAATAACAGGACTCCTAACAATATTATATGTTGATAGGTCAGTACCTTATTCAGTCATCATCAGAGAATCTTCCTCCCAAAGCAGATGGGAACAAATACACAACCAGACATACCAAGAGAGAGACCTCAGGACACACAACTCTAAATGGGATGTCTCCATCAAATCTTCATAGCTCAGGGAACTCTGTGGAAGAGGATCAGGAAAGAGTGTGAAAAACAGAGGAGAGAGAGGATGACAAGAGAATGAGGACCTTTAAATCAACTGAACAAAGCTCATATGGACTCAGACTGATCTGCTCCAGATCTCCTCTGTATATATTATAACTTTCAGTTTTGTATTTTCATGGAACTCCTGAGTGTGTGGATGACAGGATCTGATTCATGTGCCTTCTGTTGGGCTCTTTCTTTCTTTTGGTTTACCTTATCCAAATTCCTTGTAATTTTTTTTATTAAGAGATTTTCTATTCACTTTACATTCCAACCACAGATTCCCCTGTCCTCTCTCCTCCCGCCCCCCAGCCCTCCCCCATCCCACCCCCCATTCCCACCTCCTCCAAGGCAAGGTCTCCCATGTGGGGTCAGCAGAGCCTGGTACATTCAGTTGAGGCAGGTCTAAGCCCCTCCTTTCTGAACCAAGGCTGCGCAAAGTGTCTCACCATAGGCACTAGGTTCCAAAAAGCTTGATCATGCACTTGGGACTGGTCGCGATTCCACTGCCTGGGGGCCCCCTATACAGTTCAAGCTAAACAACTGTCTCACTTGTCCAGAGGGCCTAGTCCAGTACCATGGGTGCTCCTCAGCTATTGGTCCACAGTTCATGCGTTTCCACTATTTTGGCTAGTTGTCTCTGTATTTTTTCCAGTCATGGTCTTGATATCCCTTGCTCATAGAATCCCTCCTCTCTCTCATTGGCTGGACACCTGGAGCTCTGCCTGGGACCCAGCCATGGACCTCTGCATCTGCTTCCATCAGTCACTGGATGAGGGTTCTATGATGACAGTTAGGGTATTCAGCCATCCAATCACCAGAGTATACCAGCTCAGGCACCCTCTCGAATATTGCCAGTCATCTATGTGGAGTCATCCTTGTGGATTCGTGAGAACCTTCCTAGCACTCTGTTTCTTCCTATTCCCATGGTGTCTTCATTCATCATGGTCTTTTATTCCTTGTTCTCCCACTCTGTTCCTGATCCAGCTTGAACCTTCCACTCCCCTAAGCTCTCATCCCCTGTCCCTTGCCTTCCATTACCCACTTCACCCCCAGTTTGCTCATGTAGATCTCATCCATTTGTCCATCACTGGGCGATCCATGCATCTTTCCTAGGGTTCTCCTTCCTCCCTGGAACTGTGGGTTGCAGTCTGGTTATCCTTTGCCTTATATCTAGTATCCACTTATGAGTGAGTAGTAATATTTCTTTTAATCTTACTATCTTTTATTTTGTTGTTTTGTTGTTATCTCTTAGAAGCCTGTTCTGTTCTAATGAGAGACAGTAGGGAGTAGATCCAGATGGGAGGGAAGTGGGGAGGAACTGGAAGGAACAGAGGGAGGGGAAACTATAATCAGAATATATTGTAAGAGAAAAGAATATTTTTTATAAAAGAAGAAATAAACTTCAAAGTCATGCAAGTCTTCTTTTTTTTCTTGTATACTCATAATCCTGGACTAAAATTCTCTCAAAATGTCTTCTCTACTAAACACAGTCAGAAACATTCACCTTAATTAAGTGCTCAAATAAAATAAAGTCTATCCCTAAAATATGCTGGTCCCAGCAATATGAGAATAGGCCAAATATGGAATCCCTTTAACTGTGAACCTGTGAAAGAGATATTAACCAAATAGTCAAAAATAAATGTGAAACGGTACCATCCCTACTTATTAAAAAGGAGTTCTGCAGGAGGAACCACAAGGATTGGGTCATTAAGGCAGCTTATGACTTTCCTCAGGAAACTGACATCGAACTAAGTCTGAAGGGAAGTCTTTCTGGTGGGAAGAGCTAGCAAGCATTCAGTAGGCACACTGTAGTCTGTTTAAATAACTTCAAAGTGGTACTCACTTCCCTTAGGAATAAATTTAAAATTAAAATAACACTCCAGGTATAAATATACAAATCATACTGAACTTAAGAAATTTCTGTCCAAAGATATTTAATCCTGAAACTGGCAACAGCAAAGAGGCACTATTAATGATGGATCATAATTCTGGTGGTCAACCTGGGCATACAGGAGTCTGGGTTTACATATTAGAACAGTTAGTATCCTATAGCTAGTGAGAGAGATAAATAAAATATTCCAAAGAAACTCTTGGACTAATTTCTGACTTTCTGAAATGTACATGTCTCTGAACTGCAATCTATCTTTTGTGTTTTGGCATCACCTTAGAAAATGTTTTCATTAACTTCTACAGACTTACCTTGGCACAAAGATCCCAAGCACTGGTTATTTTCGAAGATGGAACCATTTCTGCATCTGCATATGTAGGTTAATCAGGCAAATCACTAAACCCTAAAGTAAAATAGAAAAGGCTATGACCTATGAAAACAAAGCCAGAACCTGTCCTAGCATATCTACGCTAACAACAACAAAGAGGTATGTATGCAGAGCTAGCTTCTTGCAGTGGGACCACCATGGTTCAAATGTGCAATTTATTTGTTCTTTTAAGGTGCTGTTAATTTTCCTATTTCTGAACTCTATATAATTGTATACTAAAAGAAGATTTTGATTATGTAATAATTTATAAATGCAATAAAATGCTATTTTTAAAGAACTGTGCCCCCCGCTTGTTACTGCTCCCCAAAGGGCCTAAATAAACTTTATCAGTGAGCATTTGCTCCAATTGCTATTTACCAAATGAGAAACTTGAGCTAAAAAAGAAACCTTAATAAAGCCAAATTTAAAATTGCTGTGCTTCATTCTGTGCAAGCATGACATTTAAATTAATAGCATCTATCTCTACCCCTTAGGATTTACGATATAATTTGGAAAATCTACAGATGGTGTGTATTCATTTCTGCCCTTTTTTTTTTCCTGAATCAGTACATTGTTACTGCAAATATAAAGCAGTGTTCTTGTAGCTGTTTTACTTGTAGCTGTTTCTGTTCACCATGTTGAATGTAAAATTAACATGGATTTAGTAACACCATCACAGCCTTAAGGAAGTAACAAGTAACAAAAATGTGTGTGTGTGTGTGTGTGTGTGTGTGTGTGTGTGTGTGTGTGTGTGTATATATATATATATATATATATATATATATATATATATATAGCATATTTGCTCTCTGTGAGCAAATAACTGTTGATGCTTTCTTTTGCAAACAAGTCCAGGTCACAAAAAGGGAGACAACTGAGCCAGGCGGTGGTGGCGCACGCCTTTAATCCCAGCACTCGGGAGGCAGAGCCAGGCGGATCTCTGTGAGTTCGAGGCCAGCCTGGGCTACCAAGTGAGTTCCAGGAGAGGCGCAAAGCTACACAGAGAAACCCTGTCTCGAAAAACCAAAAAAAAAAAAAAAAAAAAAAAAAAAAAGGGAGACAACTGTAGCATGCTTTCTTCCAAGGTGAAATGCATCTCAGTTTCTGGGCTATGTTATAACCTTTGCAAGCAAGAGAAACTTTGCATGACAATTATATCACATGCTATGTTTTGCCTAGTTATGCTCCAGTCTTTTATTGATTACATGACATATAACTTCAGGCAGACAAAAGAAAAATAATCCCTGTGATGCTGAAGCCAGTGGTGTTTATGAATATCCCCTGCTGTGTTAAGTGTCTCAAACATCTGTCAGGTGTGTTACATTATAGCCACAGGAAAATTTCAAGCAGGTTGTGTGCCAAGCATAATGCTTTGTCTCAGACCTTGTCAATCCTGTTGATGGATGAACTCAGTATTCTAAGGACTAAGGTTCTAAATATGTTTATATTTTGCCTGATCTCTGAATCACATCGGGAGGCACAAAGCTCTCACGGTTAGAAAGAAAAAGATCACTTTTAATGGACAGGACATCTCTTGACTCATAAAATGTGTAGGTTTTAATCTATCCTAGGAAGATAGTTCCCTAGTCCTTTGTAATTCTGTTTTATATAAGCTTCATTTAGCAGACGAATTTCCATTTACTCAAAACAAATTAATTCTAAACAATTTGCAAAGGCTACTATGCTTTTTAAAGAGATTTACTACTGATAGCTTTACATTTTGCAGAGCACAGTGTCTAGAAACAAAGAGTTTGTAGGTATATTATTTACTGAATTACAATGGAAGTTACACTAACAGAAACTAAGTCAGATGAAACTATTTTATGAGGATAGCATATATGTGTTCCATTTAGATAACATAAGTGGTAAAAGAATCCACTCTTCTTATGACCTTTCACATTCTAATCTATGGATTGAATAGGTTTTGAATCGGCTTTGGGAAGCACATTAATAAAACATAGTTCTATGATACATCAACTCAGCTATTTTCCTTAAAAATGTATAAAATCCATATTAAAGTCTATGTGGAAAATAAGTCCTGTCCCAAATAACACTGGTATACCTATCACATTAGCATGGCAAAGAATTCCATATTTTGTAAAAATGACATTCAAAGTTTACTATATTTAAGTTCTGTATGATATCTAATATAAATTCTAGTAAATTCTACTCTAAATAAGGCTAAAACAAATCTGGAATAGGGTACCCTGCAATGTATAGAGAAGAAAATGATGCAATTTCAGAGAGCTATTATATGTCAGTCTCCTCCCTGTTCAAACTGCCACACTATCTGATACCACCTTTGAGAAAACAACTAGCAATTTAATTTCATTCTAAGAAGATAGCTATTACCTTAGCTGAAATCCTACAAAGTTACAAAACTTCTGACTTAATCCTTTAGGATGAAATCACAAATTGTGAGCTAATGATTTAACAGTGTACTAAAATAAAAAACTCTAATAGCACTCATGGATTTTAATAAGAATATGCCAAGTTACACTATTCATAACAAACCCAAACAGAAATATCCCAACAATTGTTAATAGTTGTTGTGATATATTGTGTGCCCCAATAAAGCTTACCTGGGGTCAGAGGAAAAAGCCAGCCACTATATTAAACATAGAAGTCAGGCAGTGGTAGTACACATCTTTTATCCTAGCATTCGGGAGGCAGAGATCCATCTGGATCTCTGTGAGTTCAAGGTCGCACTGGGAACAGAGCCAAGCACGGTGGACATGCCTTTAATCCCAGCATTGGGAAGGAAGGAAGATGTCAGGGCACAGAGAAGTATATAGGGTGTGAGTAAACAGGAAATCTCTCTCTCTTTTTTTTTTTTTTTAATTTATTTTAATTTATTTTGCAATACAATTCAGTTCTACATATCGGTCACGGATTCCCTTGTTCTCCCCCCTCCCGTCCCCCTCACCTTCCCCCCAACGCCCCCCCCCCCATTCCCATCTCCTCCAGGGCAAAGCCTTCCCCACAGACTGAGGTCAACCTGGTAGACTCAGTCCAGGTAGGTCTAGTCCCCTCCTCCCAGGCCAAGCCAAACAATCCTGCATAGGCCCCAGGTATCACTCATAGCAGGATACTAGACATGAAACAAGGATGACTTGTCTGCTACTCACATCACCAGGGAGGCTACCCGGAAAACAGGACCCCAAGAAAGACACAGGGATCGCCCAATGACAGAGAAATGGAATGAGATCTACATGAACAGCCTGGACATGAGTGGGGGTAATGAAAGGCGAGGGTCGAGGGAAAGAGAGCTTGGGGGAGCGGGAGATCCCAGCTGGATCAACAACAGAGAGGGAGAACAAGGAATAGGAGACCATGGTAAATGAAGACCACATGAGAACAGGAAGAAGCAAAGTGCTAGAGAGGCCCACAGAAATCCACAAAGATACCCACACAACAGACTGCCGACAATGGTCGAGAGACAGCCCGAACTGACCTACTCTGGTGATGGGATGGCCAAACACCCTAATTGTTGTGCTAGAAACCTCATCCAACTACTGAGGGATCTGGATGCAGAGATCCATGACTAGGCCCTGGGTGGATCTCTGGGAGTCCAATCAACGAGAATGAGGAGGGTTTATATGAGCGAGAATTGTTGAGACCAAGGTTGGATAAAGCACAGGGACAAATAGCCAAATGAATGGAAACACATGAACTATGAACCAATGGCTGAGGGGTCCACACTGGATCAGGCCCTCCAAATGGGTGAGACAGTTGATTGGCTTGATCTGTTTGGGAGGCATCCAGGCAGTGGGACCAGATCTTGTGCTCATTGCATGGAAGTCTCTCTCTTGAGGCTGAGGATTTTGTAGAGGTAAGAACATGACTGGCTTGCTCTGTTTCTCTGATCTTTCAGCTTTCACCCCAATAGCTGACTCTGGATGTTTTATTAATAAGACTGTTTAGCAATTCGAGTTATAAATAGTGGATTGAATAATCTGATAGCATTTTATTTAAAACTGGAGTTCTCTTTAGTATTAATAGGGCAGTCTATATAGAACATCATCTATACCTTAATAGCCAAAATTAAACAACTCTATTAAAATGAGTAAAAGATCTGAATACTCTTCTTTTTTAAAAAAAGAAGCACAAGTGGACAATAGGTATATGAAAATTGATTCAGTTTCAGTATGAGTTATGGAAATGCAAGTCAAAATCACAGTACTGTATCACCTTACACATGTTAGAATGGGTACTACCAAAAAAATCAGGACAAAAAGAAAAACAGCTGCAGCTGCTTGTCCCTGAGCTCCATTTGCTTAATAACATTTTCCCATCATTTTACCTTAAGGTGGTGTCTATTATTGGTTTTAAAGTGTCTCTTTGAGATAGAAAAAAAGGATTGTGTTTTCTAATCTGTTAGTCTGGCTCTTTACTGGGGAGTTAAGAGCATTTAATATTAATAGTTTTTTTTTTTTTTTTTTTTTTTTTTGGTTTTTCGAGACAGGGTTTCTCTGTGTAGCTTTGCGCCTTTCCTGGAACTCACTTGGTAGCCCAGGCTGGCCTCGAACTCACAGAGATCCGCCTGGCTCTGCCTCCCAAGTGCTGGGATTAAAGTTTTATTGAAGAGTGTGTATTAATTCCTGGCATTTTGTTGTTTTTGTCCTTTTTTAAACTTCATTTAATTCAATGTTCTAGAATTGTTTACTTATTCCCTATTCTTTCTTAACTATTTTTTAGCATCCTCTTCAAACCTAAGTAATTCCATCTAGAATCCATGGTAGAGATGGCAGCTGCCTGGCTTCTGGTCTGGGTGTGTTACCTTCTTTCTCCTTGTTTTTTTCTTCTTCTCTCTCTAGAACCTAGATTTCTCCTCCTATTTATTCTGCCTTCTAGCCTCACATATCCCTCTTCTGCCTAGCTACTGGCCCTTCAGCTTTTTATTAGACCAATCAGGTGCCATAGGCCGGCAAGGTGAAACAAATGTAACATATCTCCACGTAATTAAATAAACGCAGCATAAACAAATGTAACACACCTTTACATAGTCAAAGCAATATTCCACAGCATGAACAAATGTAACACATCTTTGCCTAGTTAACATAATATTCCACAACAAGAGAGGCTAAGTAACAAGGGGACCCCAAGGTGGGGATTCATAGCTCTCCTTGGGAAAGAAAAATGGAAGAGACATTCTAGGTGGACTGGGGGAGGCCAGGATGGAAACTTGAGGGATCCAGTTGGGGGATGAATGAAGGGGGAGAGTACTGAAAGAGAAGACTGGAAATGGGGGGTGCATTCTGGAGTTGGGTAACATGACACAAGGGAAACTACCATGAATCTATAAAGATAGCCCCAGCTAAAACTTTTAGAAATAGTGGATATGTAGCCTGAACTTGCCATATCCTATGATCTTATTGGTGACTACCTCAATTGTCATCAGAGAGCCTTCATCCAGTAACTGATGGAAACAAATGCATAGACTCACAGCCAAACATTATTCTGAGCTTGGAGAATCTTACTGAAGAGAGGGAGGAAGGATTCTAGAAGCCAAAGAGGTCAAGGAAATCACAAGAAAATCCACAGAAACATCTAACCTGGCTCATGGGAATTCACAGAGTCTAAACCAACAGCCTACATGGGACCAACCCAGACCCTCTACAAATGTGTGACAGTTATGTAGCTTGGTCTACTTGTGGAACTCCTAACAATGGGAGTAGGGGCTGTCCCTTATGCTTTGGCTGGCTCTTGGAACTCTATTCTCATGCTGGATTGCTTTGCCCAGCCTTAGTACAAGGAGGGGGATGTGCTTAGTATTGTGGCAACTTGGTATGCCATTCTTTGTTGATATCCATAGGTGGCCTGCCCCTTTCAGGACAGAAACAGAGGAGGAATGGATCGAGGGCAGAGTGAAAGGAGAGGAAGGAGGGGAAAATGTTGTCAGAATGTATAATAAATAAATTTAATTTTAAAAAACACACTGTACCATAAAACCTGGGCTCCACACTAGGGCCCACAGACTCTGGAAGCTGTACTGGAGGCCAGAGTGTTCCTAGGAACGCCCATGCAAGACACTGCCCACCACCCACTAAACTCCTTTAAACCTGTCTAAAAATCCCAGACTGCACACACCACACCACACCCCCACCCTAGCTCTGTATCTTGGTCTATAACTTTGGAAGAAGAGTTATGTTTTACCAGAGGCTAGGTCAATTCTAGTTACCCCAGATAAAGCACCTCCCACTGCCCATTAGCACTCCTTAAAGCCTGCCCAGCAACCCCAGACTGTACTCCCTCGCTTGGGCTCCACTCTAGGGCCCACAGCACCCAGCAGTTGTACAGGAGACTAGAGAAGTCCTAGGGACTCCAGGGAAGTCACTGCCCACCATCCACTAAAACCATTTAAGCCTGTCCAACAATCTCAGACTGCACCCCCATCTCTCAGCCCCATATCCCAGCCCACTACTTTGGAAGAAGTATTTTACTTTACCAGAGGCCAAACAGGATCAAGGAAGCTCACGTAAGATACCACCCAACACCAGCTAATACTCCTTAAAACCAGATCAATAACTCCAGCTCAATAACTCCCTGCCCTGGGCTCCACACTGGGACACACAACCCCAACTGCCTTATGGGAGGCCAGGCTGCTCCTAAGAACCTCAGAAGTCAGGCTAGATCTACAAACCTTGGGTCTACAACTTCAGATAAATTTAGCCTACTGGAGCATAGGATGGACCTAGGGACCCCAGCATGATAGTGGAGGCCAGGCTGATCTTAAGGAGCCCAGAGGCCAGAGTAGATCTAGGGATGCAGATCCCTCCCCAGTCTCCACATCCTAGTCTACAACTTTGGAAGAGGACTTAACACTTAGAAAAAGCCAGGCCTGGTCTAGGAATCCCTAGTCCCAAGAAAACCCAGAGAGAACACACTACTGAACACGAAGACACACTAGTGATCAGAACCCTTGGCCATTTAAGCCAGAAGGCCAGAAAGGAAAGAGAAACCAAGGAAGAAAACACATCCAACAAATACAAATGCAGGAGTCAACACCTGGACCTAAAATCATCCGGAACCCTAATGTCTAAATGCCAGTGTAAGAACACAAACAATAACAGGAAAGGCAATATGGTATCACCAGAGTCCAGCTATCCAGAATAGCAAGACCTGAACCATCTGACACAGCTGAAGCATGAGAAAATGTCCTAAAAATTACTTTTTGAAGATAATAGAGGTCCTACAAGAGGATATGAACAAATCTCTGAAAGAAATTGAAGAAAACACAAACAAAAAATTGGAATAAATCAATAAATCCCTTAAAAAATAAAACAAGAAAGTAACAGATAAAGAAAACTGTTCTGATCTGAAAATGGAAACAGAAGCAATAAAGAAAACACAAATTGAGGGAATACTGGAAATGGGAAATTTGGGTAAGTGGATAGGAACTACAGATATAAGCATCACCAATAGAATACAAGGGATGGAAGAGAGAGTCTCAAGTGTTGAAGACACAATAGAAAAAATAGATTCATCAATCAAAGAAAGTATTAAGTCTAAAAAATTCCTAACACAAAACATTCCGGAAATTAGGAACACTATGAAAAGAACAAACATAAGAAAAGTATGAATAGAAGGAGAAGAAACACAGCTCAAAAAATTCAGAGAATATATTTAACAAAATCATAGAAGAAAACGTTCCAAATCCAAATAAAGACATGCCTATAAAAGTATAAGAAGCTTACAGAACACCAAATAGATTGGATCAGAAAAGAAAATCCCTTCAC